AACTTCTCTGGGAAACCTGTTCCAGTGCTTCCCCATTCGAGCCTCTCCTCCCTCCCACAATGGTAACGCGCCAAGCGAGAGAAGAGGTACTTGCGTAAAAGCGGGCGTGGGACACGTCTGAAGGCACTGCTACGTTGTAAGGCCCAACTGCTTTGTAGAGGCACCGGCTCCGTCGCACCAGAACTCCTTGTGGCCATATTGTGTTTTCTGACCAGCTGTGGGGGAAAGAATGCCAGAGCGTTAGCATCCGTGCTCCCAACTCCCCGAACGTGGGTTCGTGGCAACGGACTGCGTCTGGAGAAATACGGAAGCCTCTGCCGCACGGACGTGTCCTAGCTCCCACTGGAAAAGCGCAGAGAGGGCATTGCAAGCCCACCAGATGGACTCCAAGTAATGTGGACAAACAGCGCTTAGTGCAAGAACCTGGCCCCCTGCATTGGAGGGGACCACCCTCCGCCCCTGCACAATCTGCTTCTCCAGCAGCCAAGAAGAATCTCAGCACTTGTTTCTGGGAAGAAACCAGCAGTGACCAGAGGAGCACGGACAGCTCTCTCGAGCTCCTGTTTCTAGGGAACAGAAAGACCAGCAGAGTTGCACAGGGAAAGCAGGAGTGTCCTCAGTAGACAAGCCCTGCTTTTATTTGCTTATCTGTTAGAATGTCTTCCCGGCCCCTTGCTGGGCATGCCAACCCCTCCCCATGCCCGCACTCACATATGTTGTGGAGCATTGCTGTAGGAACCATGTTCTAGCTTCTGCCACTTGCCAAGGTGGGCAGCTGATCTGTGGAGCAGGTCACAGTACTTGGGAGGCAGCAGCTGAGTGGTGAGCATGACAAAGGCATTGATCCACACCATGATGAGGTGCTCACAGGACCAGCGCATGTCGTAGTACTGGGTGCTCTGCAAAGAGACCAGACAAGAACTTAGCACCACTGCCATAAAACGGAGGAAGGAACGACAAGGGACGTACTGCATGTGCATCCAGCAGACCCACACCACACACTACAGGCATGCGCTTTTGGACCGGTGATCTCAGAGGGTTACAGCTTAGGAAACACTCAAGACTCCCTTCTCCTTGACCTGCAGGAGAAAGGGCAAGGGATGATGCTGCAGCTGGTGCATCTCCTCCTCCAGCAGCAGATAACGGGGTTTGCTTGCAACAGAACTGCTCCAGGAGCACCAATTGCACCAAGGCTGCTACACGGATTGTGGAGCCCTGCCAGTTTTGCTACACCAACTGGAGCTCGTTCAAGTTGGAGAAATAACAGATTAAAAAACACAACCCCCACATTGACAAGAGGTTCTTGGATTTAGCTTGCCAAGCATCCTAGTTGGCTCTGTCTTCTACGAGGCTGACCACCAAAGCCTCTGATCCAAGCACTCGAAAGCCAGGACGTTGGATCTGAGACAGGTGACAACAGGTTCCCTTTTCTAGGAAGAACACAAGCTATCCATCTGCCTAGGACATGGGGTGGGAGAAGGGGAGTTAGTAAGTGGGGCGATGGGACTAGAGGTGCATCACATTTATGGCAATACCTATCCGCCAACCAGGAGCAGTACTAGTGCACTCCGGATGCAGCCATGCTCCGCTATCCAGGCTGCCGAAGGGGAGACAGAGAAAAGGGGAATTAACCAGGAATCGGGCCTGGCAGCAATTCACGCAACATTCAGAAGGAGACGGCGGGCAGGGGCACAGAGAGAGCCAGACAAGAGCTACCTTCACAAAACACAGTGGCAGGAACGCCACGTAGTAGGCACTGAAGAGAGAGTTGAAGAGAACTTCCTTGATCCTGCGGTTGAAGTCTGCTTTTAGGCACTCCACCTCATTGCGGATGAGATCTGGGGAAAGGGGGCAGCTGTGGGTGGGGATAGACGTAGGATTATTGAACTGTTCCCTCAGGGATTCCCACAGAAGCGAGAGGAAATCTTTGGGTTTGACCAGGCTGCTGACAGCTGAAGCCCCATCATCCACCATCTGGTCCTGTACCAAATAACCACAGTCTGCAGGTAGGGGCTGTGCTCTGCTGTCCTGGTGGAAGCAGCACAGGGGAACATAGACACCAAACCTACAGGGAAAGAAAGAAGGAAAAAAAGGGCTGAAATGACAGTCATCCCAACACGAAGCACGAGGCACCTTCTCAACAGATGTTGGCACATCTGGAACCCTCACTCCAGAAGCTAGTGGCCAACTCTTCTCCTCCATAAAAAGCCAAAGGTTGCAGCTTCAACAACTGCGCAGAGAAGCTTCTTTACATCCCGTTTGTGGAACCCACGATCCCAAAGGCTCAGGGTTGAGTCACAGTAAAGGCCCCTCACACAAACGACATTCTGAGGCAATCTGCTTCATCAGCTCAGCGCCACCTCCTCGCATCATCCCCCAGCCACTCCTACTTCCCCTTTAATCATAAAATGAGGAGACGGATTACAGCCAACAGCTCTACTTCCCATGATGGATTATGCCACCCCCAAGCAGTTATGGTCCCCCACCCTGAAGGTACAAGGTGGTGTCACTCACGGGTAGCCCAGGAAGAGCAGGTTGAGAACAGAATGGCTGCGGAAGAGGTTGACCAAAGTCCAGCAGAGCACCCATCCACAGAGGGTGAGCAGCACCAGGCGCACCACGTAGTGAATCACTGACGTTGCGCCCACCTGAGAGGCCTGCAAATGGAGAAGAAACGTTCAGCATCCCTGTAAAACTCGTGCTAGAACATGAGCACAGGGGGTGCCTGTGGAGGAGGAGCAGGGACAGAGGTGCCAGGAGGCACGGTAAGAGGGATGGCTGCCCTCTTCCTCCCAGAAGTAGGAGACTGACTCTCTTAGACAGGTGAACACCTTTGATTTTATTCACCATTGGGAGAATCCAAAAGATTCAAATAAGCACGAGTTGCAGGGCATTTCTAAAATAGGGCCTTTAAAAAAAAAAAA